TTGTTTAGATGTTATTTTAACTGTTGTTTAGATGTTATTTAGCTGTTGTTTAGATGTTATTTTAACTGTTGTTTAGATGTTATTTAGCTGTTGTTTAGATGTTATTTTAACTGTTGTTTAGATGTTATTTAGCTGTTGTTTAGATGTTATTTTAACTGTTGTTTAGATGTTATTTAGCTGTTGTTTAGATGTTATTTTAACTGTTGTTTAGATGTTATTTAGCTGTTGTTTAGATGTTATTTTAACTGTTGTTTAGCTGTTATTTAGCTGTTGTTTAGATGTTATTTTAACTGTTGTTTAGCTGTTATTTAGCTGTTGTTTAGCTGTGGTTCAGCTGTTGTTCAGCTGTGGTTCAGCTGTAAACTGGGTCACTCTCTGCAGAAGGTGATTTTCTGTGAACTAAAGGCAGAAGTTCTGTTTTTGTGGAAGTCGGAGCCTCTGAGGTTAAAACCGCTGCAGGACTGGTTCTGGTTCTTACTGGATCCTGTTGGTCCAGGTCTGAGTGTCTGAGACGGACCACGTGTCCTCCGCCCTCACTTTGTGTCTGTGGTCGAGTCCAGCAGAGCAGAAAAACAAACTGTAAATCCTCTCACTGCAGACAGTCAGGGTTTGGACCAGGACCAGGACTGACAGGACACCCTGTCCCACCTGCTGTCAGGACCAAAGACCTGGTCAAAGACCTGGTCCTGCTTCAGTCTGTAGACCTGCACAGGTGTGGTCTGACCAGGTGTCAGAGTGAGGGTGATGAAAACTAACGCACCCTTCTTATCAAAAAACATCAAAAGTTGYTTTTCTGACTCAAAAACAAAAAGTAACAGGATGAAGACTTTTGCTCAGCTCTGTATGGAAGTAAACATGTAAACAAACAAACATGTAAACAAACATGTAAACAAACATGTGACCTTCCTCCTGTTAAGGAACTTTGTTCTGGTTCTGGTTAAATCTGGTCCAAATGTTGAGTCACAGAAACTGAAGGACAAATGTTACATAAGACCCGTCTCAGTGTGGGACCCAGAACTGGTCCTGTTAGGGAGGGACCAGGACCAGGACCAGGACAGACCACAGCCTCCCACCACTCCCAGTCTGAGTCACTGTTTACTGAGACTTCATCATCATCATCATCATCATCCTCCTCTGCTGCTTCCTGTCTGACTCTGTCTGTGGTGAGGAGGATGATGAAGGTGAGGAGGATGAAGGTGAGGAGGAAGAGAATGTTTTAACAGCTCACTTTCTATAAACAGAAACATTTAGAACCAAAAACTCTGAGACAACTGTCCAACACGTCCAACATGTCCCCAAACAAAGACTCAGTCTCTGGTCCCAGCCTGGCTCAGTCCAGGTCTGGTGGGTGGACAGGGTGTTGGTTTGTTTTTGAGGATAAATTTAGATTTGTGAGTAAAACAGGAGGAGGAGGAGGAGGAGGAGGAGGAGGCGGCAGCCGGACGGTTCTGCTGGTTCTGTTGGGTCTCAGAGGAATGCAGACTGTCTGTCAACAACCTGCCTTCTGTGGACTGAGACAGGGACAGTTGGACACATCAGGCTGCTGCCGACCAGATCTGTTGCAGAACCAGGTCCAAAACTGGTCAACAGGTCCAGTCTGCAGCACAGAACCGGGTCCAGAACCGGTCAACAGGTCCAGTCTGCAGCACAGAACCGGGTCCAAAACCGGTCAACAGGTCCAGTCTGCAGCACAGAACCAGCCTCAGCTGTGTGTCTGTGATTAAAGCCACAGAATGTAGACATATAACACACAGAACACAAACATGTTGTCTTTCATAGACAAACAGCAGAGCTGCTCTCTGCTGCCACCTGCTGGACGCGGGCCGTATTACACCAAAGAAAAGGTTTCATTTATTTAGAAAATAATAATAAATCACTTTACTGTCATAAATATGGGAACTCCTTTAGTCTTTATTTCAGATTTTAACCTGTTTGAACAAATCAGACCTGAAAAATGACTAATTTTAAATTAATTTAATGATCATTAGTGCTGCAGTTTGTAAAGTTTAGATGTTTTAAACATGATCAAATAAAAGACGTTTATTTTGCATTATTGTTTTTATTATTAACTGTAGAAACTCTGGTGCAAAGAAGCTTCTTAAAGAAAGATCAAACAGAAGATCAAAGAACATTTAATCCTCTCTGATCATCATAAACTTTGATTTAATCCTGACCTTCATCACTAACAGGAACACTTGAATCTGCAGGACTGAAGGAGTCCTCCTCCTCCTCCTCCTCCTCGATGATTTCTTTGGTTTCTGGATCAGTTTCCTTCATCATCAACTCAGGCTTTAATAAACTCTTTCACAAGAGTTTAAACTCAAACTTAACCTCAGATTGTTTTTCTGTTGAATGAAGCCAGCAGCAGGTTAGAATCTGTCCTGAGAACCAGGTCCTGTGAACCAAGTCCTGAGAACCGGGTCCTGTGAACCAGGTCCTGTGAACCGGGTCCTGTGAACCAAGTCCTGAGAACCGGGTCCTGTGAACCAGGTCCTGTGAACCGGGTCCTGTGAACCGGGTCCTGTGAACCAGGTCCTGTGAACCGGGTCCTGTGAAGCTGGTTCAGGATCTCTTGGCGGGTTTGGCGGTCAGCTGCCTCTCTCTCTCCAGCTCCTTCTCCCTCTGCTGCTCCTTCTCCAGCGCCTCCTTCTGCTTCTGCTGCTGCAGCTTCAGAGCTCGTTTCTGAAACAAAGACAGACGGATCAGGTCAGGGTGGTTCTGGATCAGGTCAGGGTGGTTCTGGATCAGGTCAGGGTGGTTCTGGATCAGGTCAGGGTGGTTCTAGATCAGGTCAGGGTGGTTCTGGACCAGCTCAGATGGTTATGGATCAGGTCAGGATGGTTCTGGATCAGGTCAGGTGTTCTGGATCAGGTCAGAGTGGTTCTGGACCAGGTCAGATGGTTCTGGATCAGGTCAGGGTGGTTCTGGATCAGGTCAGGGTGGTTCTAGATCAGGTCAGAGTGGTTCTGGACCAGGTCAGGATGGTTATGGATCAGGTCAGGATGGTTATGGATCAGGTCAGGATGGTTATGGATCAGGTCAGGTGTTCTGGATCAGGTCAGAGTGGTTCTGGATCAGGTCAGAGTGGTTCTGGATCAGGTCAGAGTGGTTCTGGACCAGGTCAGATGGTTCTGGATCAGGTCAGAGTGGCTCTGGACCAGCTCAGATGGTTCTGGATCAGGTCAGGGTGGTTCTGGATCAGGTCGGGGTGGTTCTGGATCAAGTCAGAGTGGTTCTGGATCAGGTCAGAGTGGTTCTGGATCAGGTCAGAGTGGTTCTAGATCAGGTCAGAGTGAGTGGTTCTGGATCAGGTCAGAGTGGTTCTGGATCAGGTCAGAGTGGTTCTGGATCAGGTCAGAGTGGTTCTGGATCAGGTCAGGATGGTTCTGGATCAGGTCAGAGTGGTTCCGGATCAGGTCAGATGGTTCCGGATCAGGTCAGAGTGGTTCTGGATCAGGTCAGATGGTTCCGGATCAGGTCAAAGTGGTTCTGGATCAGGTCAGAGTGGTT